TGAATATAAGGGTTGTATAATTTACATAGCCCTCAAGCGGGATAGCAGGATCATAAGGGTGTGTAGCTCCTTGCTGGATTACTCTGATGTGTGTGACCATCTTACTGCTCACATGAACTGCACAACTCTTATTATTCAGCTCTTCCAGAAGTAACAAGATCTACCTCATTGAACAGTGCACAGAGTCACTGCTCATTGCTTGGTTTGTAGCAATGTTTTTACTGGGATAAAAAGGGCCTCCATGCCTCATGCAGTTGTATTGCCTCTTTAGAGCATGACTTTCTTCATATATGCATTTGCAAAGCTCCAAAAAGCATTGAGAAAGCTAGCGCTCATCCTGAGCTTGCCCAACTGTCACCGTGTCAGCAAAACCATAACTGAGAAATTGTGTGCAAGAGAACATGTACACACCTCGTGCAGCAGATTTGCATCTAGGAGGGCAAATGGCATTTGAGAGGAATGTTGATGGCAAAGTAGTAGCTGACTGACTTACATGACATACTAGGACGTCATGACTACACGAATGCCGTTTCAGTTACTCAGAGCAAAACGCAAATTTTGACCACCTTACCTTGATTTTGCCCATCTTTAAAAGAAGGAGGAGGAAGAGAAGTAGCGTGTCCTAGAAGAAAAGAGGAGCTTCAAACTTTTTCTGGAAGCCACTGAACTTTTCAGGGAGTGCCTGCTGTGCTACAAAGACCCTCATGTTCACAAGAAGCTCTCATGACTCAGCAGCTCCAAACTGCTGCCCTCTTCAGCAGGACCAAGTTTCATATCCATGCCAGAGCAAAGGACCTTAACTTTGAAGTTTCTGTGCAAATCAGGTCAAACAAATGAGCTCATTTTATGTTTCTGTCAGCTGTAACTGCCATTTAGACAAGAGGATCAGTTTAAGGAGCTGCTCTATTTTTAAGACCTTCCAAGAGCTATACTGGAATTCCCAGCAATGAATGGCAACTTAATCTTTTCCTTCACCATCCCCCAAGAGCTCATTCTTACAGCAGGCAATTTGAAGAGATAAGCAATCAGCACTCCTCTTTTCTGTGCATTTCTGTTTTAAAAGTGTTAAATCTTTGTGCTGCTATTTATCTCAGGGATGCTGGCTCAACCAAGGTCCTGCACAAATGAACAGTTTTCAATGCTTCGCCTGTACAGAGTAGTCTACAGATGGAAAAAGAGATTGTCTATATGTCTGTATAATTGGTCTTACTGCCAAGAAGTCCTACAGATGCAGGTGCTTGAAATGACATTTAAGTAGCACTAAATGCACAGCAAATAACTTCGCACACCATATTTGAGTAAGTTTGTAACTGCTGGGTCACTTGCCCTTTGAGATATTACTTCCTCTTGATATGAATCTTATCTCTGTCCTGTAACAAGGAAGTAGTATTTCCAGGGAGTTAATCAGAAACAGTCCATACCAACATGTACCAAATACATTCCAAGACTTAATGTAGATACATGAATAGCTGAAAAATAAATGTTTTGCAGCTCTACCCAATATTCTTAACAACTCAGTGGGGAACTAGTAGCAAAGTACATTCACAGACAGAGGCATATCCTTCATGATGGGGAAAGTGCTGCTTTCTATAGGGAAATAAAAGATTTTTAGACTGTATACAAACAATCTATAGCACTGGAACAGTTCTATTTGAATTCAAAATAAATTGTATATTTAGTTTTGACTCTCAGCTTATGAATAGCAATGGTGGTTTTATTTTTATTTGCATTCTGATTTAGATTGATGAGAGACCAACAATTAAAGAGTGAAAGATCCAGTGAGTAAAAAATGAGTTCAAAACGAGAAACCCAGCAAACTAGCCCAAAGCAGTGCAAGTAGAGTGGTGAAAGACAAAACAGCAATGATATTTAAGTCAATTACTTGGGAAGCAATACCATAGCTCAACATATCAGAAAATTTGATTGTCCTCATCAAAAAAAAAACAGAGCAAGAAGTTTTTATGCAAGTCCAAACAGGGCTTCAGTCCTACCCTTTCCAGTGCTGAATTCATAGACAGGCTCTTGCTAAAAGGGCTGCATGACTGACCAGGCTTATTTTTGTCCAAATCTGCACAGAAGCTGGCCCTAGTACCCCCCAACTCTGCTGTCTTCTTGCAGCCTTGCAAACACAGTGCCAGGAAGCACCTGGTTTCTCAACCCACATCCACAGCATGACCCTACCAAATCTCAGCCTCAGCAGTTCCACTTCATTTCTGACCCCTCACAAGCCTTCAAGAAGAGTAAAATCTTCCTGGCTTACCCCTGGTCCTTTCTGTACCAATGCCACCAAGTGCCATGGGCATGAGAGGCGGGCTTCTGAGGAGATTTTCAGCCCAGGCTTTGAAATGTAGTCTAGGAAAGCCCAGTTAATGCCAGCCCTTACTGTGGAGCTGCTTGATATCTGGCAAGCTTGGGGGCAGGTGAGGGAGGGTTAAAGAGGGCTGACAGAAAGTCCCATCATTCACTTTGCTGCTATTTCCCCACTTGTGGAAGGTAAAGCAGTCCCCTTGCCCTGCAGCTGGAACTGCTGTGGTTGGTGCCAGAGACCCCTTGCTGAAATGCCATTGCTGGTTGTGGTGTCTCCTGAAGCATGTTTTCATGTTTCTTTGGTCTTGCTTTACTTCTTCAGAAGATGCAGCCAATCTGTGTCTTGTCTTTATATCAAATGCTCTCTATTTAACTCTTTCACTACTGGAGGAAAGCTCTAGGAGATATACAGTCCTCCCCAGTCCCATGTGAAGGAATGACCAAATTTAAGAGTCTTGGCTTCTCCATGAGGAAGGTTAATTAGCCCTTTGTATAACTCAGGAGGTAGCTCTGGCAACAGAGCATATAGGCAGGAGAGGGAAGAAATGAATCATAGAGAAGACTGACATGAGTTTCTTTGGGCCAAATGTAGCTGACCTATGCTGTTAGTTAACAAAGCAATTTCCCCCCCCCCCCCCCCCCCTTCTCAATTTACAAGAGAAATCACAACCTAAAAATCATGATTCTTTTTCCCGAGAAATTAAAAGTACAAGAAGTTATAGCACTAAACAGTTAGTCTGCTAACAAATGCCAGTTTAGAGGAGTAAAGCTGGCTTGTCTACTGTATATGATGCAAATAATTCTAGATAACAGCTAACTTCTGACAACAGGAATATTTTTTCTCTCCACCTTAACAAAGCTGCCGATGCAGATTTTTACAGTAACTGTAGACTTCAACTTGCTTTCTTCAGTAGATTCAGTTACTAGAACTGATGGGTTTCACATGCTGTCAGCTTCTGGAGGGTTTTCTTTACAAACCAGGACTGACTATCATCCAAATGTAAAAGAAAAAACCTCCAAGAGAGAAGTCCCATTAATTCCAGCACACAGTGCACTTGGAGCCATTTGAGAGAAACAATGCTAACCTAGCCAGTTTTACTTCATATACTCTGCTTTGAAGAACATTTGTTCTCATCTAAAAGCATTTTTTTTTTTTTTTTAATGCAGTGAAAACCCTTCCATGGTCTGTTGGGAAAAAACCTTTTGTTATAACCGGGGAACACGTAGCAAATAAGTGACAACAGCTACATGTTACCTGGATTCAAGGAACATGGAAGGTTTCAGTTAGAGTTTTCATAGTAAGATTCTAATGAATACTTCACTGGTAACACAGTGTGGACTGGACTTTTCTACTTCGGCTTTGCAGTTGCTTTGCATTCTCATCTTCATCCGCTGAAGAGCTTTCCAAATCCTATCGCACAGTAAAAACAAAGTTTATCAGGATTTTCATCTTAAGTTTCCTGTAGCACTGAACTACTAATTATCATGGCACGGAGAGCAGACAGTTCCAATTAAATTGCCAGCCTGGATTTCTAGACTGTCCCATCTCCTTATTCATCATCTCTATATACACAACATTGGGAAAGCATCTTAAGATATAAATAGGCATAGATATGGTTGCATGCTGAATTCTAAGTAACTGAATGAATCCATTACTGCATCCTTAGAGGACTCCAATTTTTCCCAGAACTACAACTCCTTTTTGAGTGTTATCTACCTCATTATGCATAGATTAGTTACATTACACATTGGTTTGCACAGACCACACAGAAGCTGAAAACAGTTAACTACAGTTTTGCAAAGAGATTAATGGAATCAGAAAGTAACTCGAGAAAGCAACTTATCCTTTTATCTAAAAGGTAACATTATTTATACTTTTTTACATTCATGTGAAGAACAAAGCACTCTCATGGTACTCCTGTCACTCATACCTAGCATGTCGCCTGCTACAAGTCTTCATTAATTGGAACCATAGCTGGCATACATCTACAGCATGGATTCCTGGTACAAAGCTACTAAACTACTCAAGGTTTTCCAAATCCACTTATAACTTGTTTCCTTATACCTTTGCTATGAGACAGTGAACTGGAGACTAGTTAACTGCAACTTTCACAATGGTGGAAGGCATTCTTATTAACAGCAGAATCAGCAAAATCAACAAAAACTGTTATCCGTTTACTAGTGGCAGCTCTTTTACAGCAAGCTATTAGTTGCATTTTCTATTCTTACCCCGACTATTTTCTTCAGCACTAGAAATTAGGGCATTGGCTTGTAGAGTCATGCCCTGGTTGCCGAAATTAAGGGCAATTATGCAATGGAAAGAGGAAGTATAACAGGTCAGAGATTGTACATCTGCTTGAAATGCAGGTGGTGAAGGTGCTGCCATGACTTAGTGGAAAACGTGGACTGAGGTCTAAAGCTTTGAAGGATCTGATAGTCTTGCTCTACAGACATGGGTTACAGCCACAGCCATTAGGATTCTCTCTGAAGCACTGTTAGGGTTCAAAAGATTTTCTTCTCTCTCTCTTTTTATTTTATTTTTTTTTAGCACTCTATAAGTCACAAACTTCCATCTCCTCAGGAGAACGCTTACCACCCTTCCTAGAGCAATAGAGAGTTTCAGCTAGAAGCTGGCAATCTTTCATGGGCAAGGTGCCAGATTGTATTTTTGATTCCTAATTTAGAGCTTGAACATGTTGGTAGACAGCATTGAGAAGCTGGGAGCCACTGCCTCTCACAGATGCTTCTCTCAAGATGCTGTGGATCCCAAATCCCGGGCCTATGCTGACCCTGTCAGACTTGCAAAAATGCCCTGGTACCTGCAAACCACTGGGAGCCCCTTAGAAGGAAAGTTTTATAAATGTGCAGAATACTGTTGGGGTTCCCCCCCACCCCCCCGACTCACTCACTCTGCATCATTTGACATTTTAACATATTGCCATATTAACCGCCAAAAGTCTGATCTGTGAGCATGACTTCAAACTTTTATTTACAAGAGTAGAGATGCAGTGGCATATGGACCACCAGCTGGTGAGAAGTAGGAATGGTACTTTGTGGAGTTTGAGTCACTAAGCGATTTTTTGGAAGGAAAAAAAAAAAAAAAAAAAAAAAAAAAGAGACCATCTTTGGTACAGTGAAAAAGTTAGAGAAAAGCTTAGATTTTTAGAACCAGAGTCGTTTGAAAGGACAACTGCAACAAGGCCAGTACCCAGAAAGCACAAAATCTGGAGGCACTGAATAAACTAGAAGCTATGTTGTTTATTTTAAGAGGTATATGCAAACAAGCTGTTTCCTGCTAAGGCTGTAAGAAATAATACCACTGAAGGAGTGATGTGAGACAGAAAAAAAGAGAGACGACAGTCTGTTCCTCTTAAACAGGAGGAATAAAAATCACTTTGAGAGCGAGGGTGACACTGGGGGAAGTGTCTTTTTATTGAGGTCATAACCACCTACACTCCAATTCAAAATTCTCTAGCCTTTACCCCTACTTTCCCCTAGCCTTATGTCTTTTCCCTTCGCCTTCTGGAGGGATTCTCCTTGTGCTCCATCAGCCGCTTCACCCCTTCCCCACCCCAAATGGTGACTTGGGCTGACATTCTGCAAACCTCAAACATTTTTCACTCCAGCAACTTTTGGGAGATTCATCACTTATTTAAGCTACCTAAGCTTGAGTCCTTCCAGAAGTAGTTCATTCCTCCTCATCCTGGTTTCTACCCTCAGACTGTTGTTTTTCCACCTCTCTTACCCCACGGGCAGCTGAAAACTCCCTGCCTAAAGTCACGCAACTGTAACAAAGATTAATTTTCATAGATTTATTTTCAAAGATAAATTGCAGAGACTGAGGTTCACTATTTTCCTCAGTGCCAGTCCAGTCCATTTCATCAACCTTTTCTTTTAACCTATTTCTCTAGAATCCCAGATGAGGAGAAACCCAGGTTTTAGAGGACAGTTCTGTGGTCTCAGTCTGCAGAGCTGCTGACGGCTGCTCTCCCCTCCCCTGCCAGTCCTGCTCCTTCCAGAGCAGTTCCCGTGGTTTTCTTAGGGAGATGCAAGAAGAGGGAATCTCCTGTGGCTCCATTGATACAGCTGCTAAGCAGAAGCTGTCTTTCAATAAACTGGGATCTTTTCAGAGAAAGTAGTAAACAGAAAAAAAAAAAAAAAAAAAAAGATTTGGCAAGGGGAAAGATTCATAGATAAACATTTTTTGTAATGGGGGAGGAAGATATAGAAGGAAAGGCTTGTTCCTTCAAAAAATAGAATATTGTCTAGGGACTATTAAATAACAATATAACTAATTACCAAGATAATTATCTTCATGCTGGAGCACCAAAGAGCTGAAATACAGAAGCTGTTGAGAGCACTTACTATAGTAAATTATTGAAATGCTTCTCATGGTTTATTCCGCTGAATTAGGGTACTAAAAGAAGTGTGTTACATTATTTCTCTATTGACTCTTCCACATGTGATTATTTATTATTAGATTCATAATTATGAATCAGACAGGAAGGTCAAGTTACTAATGATTCTGGAGCCTTGTCAGCTGTACAGCATTATCTGCACCGTAAAGGTACATATGTTGTTTACCTGCATAATGAAAGTGATGCAAGGAATCATTACAGTACTTGAATATCAGTCACGTAAAAAAAAAAACAAACCACTAGATAGCATGCAAACCATTAAAATTGTAAATGTTGTATTTGAGTTGTAATGTAATGGAAATATAAAGCATGCCTTTTTTGCCTACCCTTCCTTGAACAAATAGCAGAAGCATAGCAGAGAGAGAAATCTGAAATCATTACTTTCTGCCTCTGCACTGTGTAGGTTTGTTTGGCCAACAAAGGAACATTTGCACTTCTAGATGTCAACCAATTCTCAGAAACCCTCTGCGGCTCCTGCAAGAATTATTCCCTTCCTAAAGGCGAGACTGACAATGGTTAAGTGACTTCTCCGAGTTCTTTGAGGGGCTTCTGTCAAAGCCAAGACAGACACGCAAGTTATTTGCTTTAAGACAAAGATGTCAGAGAACACAGAGTAAGAGAACAAAGTTCTTGCTCCAGGAGAAGAATAACCATTTCTGAAATGCGTAGTTTCATTCAGCCAAGAAGCAGGGACATGTTCCAAAGCAAAACATCCCTCAGCCAAATCAAAATGCTCACGGTACTCCTTGCTTCTTCCCTGTTTCACAAATGATTTCAAAACTAGTTTGTGACTGGTTTTCTCCTCATTAATATTTCCTCTCCAGAGCACACTAGCATAGACCCCTTATGAGGAAGGATCTAGATACACCGACTTGTCTTTGACTCGTCCCCAACTATAAATAATCCCCACAAAATCAGTGCTACTCGTTGTACAGGTACTGGCTCTCAATATCACTCAGGGATATTGGATAAGCCTCACTGCATACATTCTTGCAAGCAAAGTACTACTGGCAGTAGCTTTAAGACCTAAACCCACCACCAGTGTGAGCAGACTCGACTGTATTCAGATGAAAACAGTTACTGCTGTTTCTACAGGTAATATCTTTGATTTATTCTGATGTTTTCCTGTGCATGAAAAAAGGTCAGCCAATAAGGAATAAAAAACATAGTGTGAGATTAAGGCAATTAACATGACTTCAGCTTCAATAGTGGGTTTCCCCCCACCCCTTCCTGACATCTCTCAGCTACAGAGAGAGAAGCCCAACTCTAACTTCCATTTCTATGCCCTTTTCAGCTTATAGTAATTGCTGTTGTGTAGCATCACAGTATTGGGGCCTCTGCCCTATCCTTCTCCCGATTTTGTGCAGGCAGCAGCGGGACAATTTTCTTTTGATTTATTCTTCTAATAGCTTCAGCAATGTCAGAATATTAGAGCTGCTTATTATCTAAAGGTTTCTTTGCAAATTCACATTAAATGAAAATGTAACTTTTCAGTCATTAATGCACTGAAAGAAGTTGCGGTTAAAGGAGGAGATGGATGGTTCGGAAGCTTATCCATTACATTTAAAAGCAAATTATCAGTGACAGAAGCTAGGTGAAACAGGCAGCAGGAGAAATCAAAAGACAGATTGAGATATCAATCAAAGAGACTTTCAGATCCTTTTCTTCTTGCACGGACCACTAGAAGAGGCATTTAGAGGGATGTAACAAAGCAGAGAGAGTCTTCTGCCACGTGGGAAAACCTGAGGTGTTTTTGCTGCCCAGTCACTGCGGATAACGCATGCTGCGCCCAGGCAGGAGGGGCAGGAGCGCAGCAGCGGCTGTTGGCAGAAAACTACTGGTGCCATAGGGTACATCACATGGACTCTTCCTTACAGGTCCGAAAGGCAAAGGTTAAAGAAACCAAGGGGCTTGTTTAGTAAGAGGGAACTTTGTACCCAAGCTAGAAGCTTCTTTGCAGGAAAATTCTTGAAACATACAAGTTTAAGAAATTTACTTTACCTCTCAGAAACAACCGAAACACAAATAGATACTGCAAACATCTCGAAGGGGATTCAAGTTTTGAATGGCTGTACAGGTCTGACCTTTAACATTTTCAGGCCTCTGTTTTTCTTTCCCTGCCTAAAAGGGACATGTGAATTAAGCATATAGAAAACTATGAAGCACCTCCACAAAATGGTTATCTGATTCAAATATAGCAGGTGTGGGTAGGACACGGGAGTTCATTGATTAGCACTACGCCAGAGAAAGATTCAGATCTGCAGAAGAGTCATCACATAGTGAGTTCATATTTGCTTTCTGATGCTTTGTCGCTAAAAGCTCATGATTTACTTCAGTCTTTATTAGATAAATATGGCATTACCATACTTTCTGTGTAGTTCTTCACATTTGAAGTTATACATTTACTTTTACTTGGAAAGAAACAGTACATTTTCCTTTTTTTTTTTTGATCTTTGTATCTTTTGCTCCCATTCTCAGAAGTACTGTTTGGACTTTAAGGTCTGCATTATAAACTGCATTCTTGAATTCTTGATATGGATCTCCCATATTTAGGTGCTCTGATTGTTCAAAGGACTCTCCAGCTGGGTAGGAAGACTATTTGAGTGCTAATACAGTGATTGTAAAGAATGGGACATCAGTTCCCATTTTAGAACATAAATCTTGGCAAGTTTGAATGGAGTATATTCAAATGGGAACAAATGGACATTTTAAGCATGTAATTTAAAACAAAACATTCAGCACTTACATGAATAAGCTGAGCAACTGCAGCTCCCCTAGCCCAGCATATAAAAGCCTACGGGTGGTAGTTCCAAGCTCATAGCCATCGGGCAGCCCATGAGAGCACCTGACCCCAGGGTTCAGCAACAGGAACCCCACACTCCAGGTCCCCTTTCTGTAGTTGCAGGTTTCACCTCTGCTTTCCAAGGCACTCACCTTCCTTCCTTATCTGTGGGTCCCAGCCACCCTTAATTTCTTACGGTTTCCAAGAGGGACACCATCCCAGCTCTGCATCTATTCAAACGTCAGGCTTAGGCACGTTGTAAATATGTATATATGCTTATACACACGTCCATTTCTAACTGCTATGGGAGTCTTTCTAAAAGGTGCTTTAAAAAGTTCTTCCTAAAAATAATGCTAAGCCAGAGTCGCTTGCACTCTGCAATGCTAGCAGTAAGCCTTATCTTTCCAACTGAGAGAATGGAAATGGAGAGAAAAAAAAAAAAAAAAACACATCTGAGTGGGGTTGAAGAGATTTGCAGATCAGGCTGCTTTTCCTCACAAGTGAGCACCTTGCCTACTTGTGACATTTTGCTCTAGCAGAGAAGGTGTCGTGCATCCAATTAAAAAGATATCGAAGGAGACATGATTGGAATGAGAATGAACGCTGCAGGTCCAC